TATTTAATACTAACATATAAAAATTATATAAAAAATTTATATCTATATCATCATCGCTAGCAATAACTCGTTAAGAAACAAGAATGCAATGTGCGACTGCTTTTCATCCACTGGCTAATGGTATTTTACATGCTACATTTTTTTTTTTTATCAGCAAAATAGAAATTTTATTAAATGGAGAATAAGGGGTACTCTTGTCCTTTGACAAAAACAAGCAAATTATAACATTTAAGATAGCACAATCAACATGGTCAAAATAGAGCTACCCCATAATGCAGTAATAATATCTACTCCTTCCTCTTCTGTTTATGATTTCCAATCCTATGTGAAGACTGCATTAGTTATAGTGCCCCCCCTCATTCCAATTTTACAAGCTTAAACCGGATTAACATACCATAACTCTTTAGAGATTTCCGCGCCAAGCCTAAGCTTTGAGCCATTGGAAAGTTTGGTATTTAATTATCTCAATTATCTTGTATTGGTGTTTAGTGGTTACCTTGAAGACCTGGTGATTTCTCCATAACCAAATATTCCATATAGTCGCAAACCAGATTACCATCCACGCTTCCCTTGTAATCTTGTTATTAAACAATCCCACATGCTGAAGCAGATGATTCCAGCCTTTGTCTTGGGATACCACGTTAATACCCCACCAATTATAGCAAGAGGACCACACCTTCCATGAACAACAAATGATTTGAGCTGTCAATCTGACTACCACACAAAGCACAAGACACGTCATCCTCACTGCTCAATACTTTATGTTTCTGCAAGTTCTTCTTTGTTGGGATTCTGTTTTGCATCACTTTTCATGCAAAAGCTAAGACTTTTAGAGGCACCCGTCGATTCCAAATCAGCTTGTAATCTCCAAACAATTCGGGGATGATTGTAGAATTTAGGAAATTATATGTAGATGATACCGAGTAGTTGCCATTTGGGTCTTGCTTCCATATCCATCTATCCTTTTGTCCTTGAACTAGCATTTTCCTTTTCACTTCTTCTGTGAGTTCCTCCAAAAGATCAATTCCCCAAGCAAAAAGATTTCTCCTCCAACTCCATCTCCACTGCCACCTTCTGTCCCTCCAATCTCCCATATCAGATATCAAAGTCTTCTTCTTACTTGCTAGAGTAAACAGCCTTGGAAATCTCTCCTTTAATGAACTATTACCCAACCATTGGTCATACCAAAATAATGCATCATTACCCCCCCCCCCCGACCCTTTTCTTAACCATCTTCCTAAACCAGCCTTCTCTACCCATAACATAGTCATTCAAATTCCATATGTCCTTCCACCAACTAGAGCAATGAATCTCCCACTCATCACCCTTCCATGCATTCATTCTATCAACATTATACTTAGACTTTAGCACCCTACTCCATGGTGAATCTTTATTCTTTAACAACCTCCATCTCCACTTTCTTAGTCATGCCACATTAAAAAGTCCTAAATTTTTTACTCCAATACCCCCAGCCTTTTATTCCAACACACTTTCTCCCACCCGACCCAAGCAATCC